ATGATCATTTGCCTAATACATGGTTCTGTTTTGCCATGCAATTTATAATCTGCAAATGACAGATCAGAACAAAACAAAAAAGCAATATTTAAAGCTCTCCATCAGCAGGCAAAAATTAGACTCACCATATATCAATTCAGCCTAAGACCCCAATAGGCCTGAAAAAGCTATTTAGAAACAATTGTCAAAATTCTGTTTGTGGTGTAATTAAATAACCAACTCTCTGCAGGAGTTTGATGGCCAGTATGAGATACCTGGAGAATTTCTATGGCTTAATGACCCAAGTGTCCAACTTAATGGCCCACCCGCTTCTCAGACCTCCAGCTGAATATGAGTGCCATTTGCTCAGCAACAATGCTTTATCTAAGTGGATTGGTCAGCTTTGAAATATGTTTGCAGGAGCTGAGGGTTATAGCTCAAGGGGGACAGTGTATGCTTAGCATGGCAAAGCCCTGAGCTTCAATCCTCATGCTCCCCACAAAAGAAATGTTTGCCAACTTTCTAGGAAGATGCATCATACAGCCCTATTCCCAGTGACCAAAGAACTTTCTAGTACAATGATGAGGTATCTGAGAGTGGGAAGAGGTCGGTGGGATGTCTGGTAAATAGTGGATGCTCAATAGATCATGTCTTCCCACACCTTAGGATTGTTTTCTGCTGAGGATTAACAGTGCCACCCGAATCAGGCGAATGGCCAGGAAGATGTTCCTGAAAGAAGTTAAAAATAAGAAAACAAAGGAAACGTCTTAGAAAAAGATAAAAATGAATACTTCTTTTTTTTTTTTTTTTTTTTTTTGGTTTTTCCAGACAGGGTTTCTCTGTGGCTCTGGAGGCTGTCCTGGAACTAGCTCTTGTAGACCAGCCTGGTCACGAACTCACAAAGATCCACCTTCCTCTGCCTCCCAGGTAGAACTAGCTCTTGTAGACCAGCCTGGTCTCGAACTCACAAAGATCCACCTTCCTCTGCCTCCCAGGTGCTGGGATTAAAGGCGAGCGCCACCAACGCCCAGCAAAATGAATACTACTTAAACAAGGATTAAATTTTAAAATGTGGAATGGTTCAAGAATTTATATGTCATCCTTACATAGGAGCCATACTAATCTCTGTAATTGTTCCAATTTTAGATGCATGCCGTCAAAACCAGAAGCACATACATTTTTCATAGAATTTTATAAAAATGATATTTTTACAGGCTGCTGGACCTCGTCTCCGAGCCATCTTCAAGCTTAGTTGTATGTGTGGCATAGTGCTTTCTTTCTTTTTTTCTTCCTTCCTTACCTCTCTCCCCTCCCATTTCCTCTCTTTTAACAAAGGATTCACTGTTGCCCAGGCTGGCCTCAGACTCCTAAGCTCAAGGCTCTGGCTCACTCAGCATCCAGAATAGATGGTGTTATAGGACCACACCACCACATCTGTCTCCTGTTCCTCATCTTTGTCTTTCCCTGCTTCCTCTTCTGACTCTTCTTTTGATTCCTCCTCTTCATCATCTTCCTCCTCCTTGTAATTGTTGTAGGGAACATGAAAACTGGAGGAAACATTGCAATAATTCCAGAAATAATTCCAGAACAATGGCCTCCAAGTTCTCAGCAACCTGACATGGAACATTCTGGCCCCAAAAGGAGAACTCTCCCTTTGGACATCTCATGTCCCTAGGGTTGGCTGCTGCTCACTTCCTCCACTCTTTGCTTACACAGTAGGTAGCTGTGCCCTCTTTCTGCAAAGGTGGGTGTTCTACCATGGTCCTTACTCAGTGGGGAGACCACAGCTTTCTAACTCCCACAATCCTATTTTCTGCCCCAGGGTGTTGGGGGTGGGGGGAGAGGGAAAGGCCACTGCTCTCTGTTCTACAGGGACACCACTGTCCTGATAAAGCACACAGAGTAATAAATCAGACAGCTAGTAAGTCTTATAGAAACCACTAGCTGATTACCATTGGTTACACAGTGATACTCGGTGGTCCCCTCTTGGTGATGCCCTTCACTCTGTGTAATTTCCCAGACTGGTTGCTTCAGCAATACCCGGTTAGAAATGAAGACCCTCAAGCAGATTTAATTGTCCCCTCTTGGTGATGCCCTTCACTCTGTGTAATTTCCCAGACTGGTTGTCTTAATGAAACTGATCTGTCACCTATGCAATAGGTATTCAGCAATACCCGGTTAGAAATGAAGACCCTCAAGCCATGCCCAGACCTTCTAAATCAGCTCAGGAGAGCAGGGCTAGCTGCCATTTTTTTTTAACTAATCTACTTGATTCTGCTTGTTTGAGACAGGGTCCCTTGTAATTCAGGCTGGTCTCAAATTCACTATGTAGTTGAGGATGACCTCGATCTCTTGCCTCCATGTCCCAAGTGCTGGGGCTACAGGTGTACCACCATGCCTGGTGTTTATTTGGTGCTGGGGATAGAACCCAGGGCTTCCTGCATGTGAAGCAGGCACTCTGCCAACTGAGTTGCATGCCTAGTCCCTCAGACTGTTTTCTCCAACATTGGGGAACTACCGCCTCAGGCTAATGCATACCAGACCCTACTTCAGACCAGAATCTTCTTGGAAGCTCTGAACAACCCTAACGTCCAATCTTCCTCACCAACCCAAAGCTAAGACCCAGGCATCAGTGCTGTCAATAATTCTTGCAATTCTACCCAGTGACCTACCTTAAGATCCACCACCCTGAGCTGCAGCTCAGGAGAAATTCAGAGTCCCAGGCCTGGCCCCAGGACTCATGCAGACTGTTAGCAATATTCACAGAAGTAGAAATTGTTCATTAAGAAATAGAAAGGTGCCAGCCTGGTCTCCAGAGGGAGTGCCGGATAGGCTCCAAAGCTACACCAAAGAAAACCCGGTCTCGAAAACCCAAAAAAAAAAAAAAAAGAAAGAAAAGAAAAGAAAAAAGAAAGAAAGAAAGAAAGAAAGAAAGAAAGAAAGAAAGAAAGAAAAAATAGAAAGGCAGTCAAGGGAGTAGGACTGGACCAGAGAACAGGAAAGGCATACCCACTCAAAAGCTCTGGGCCACGAGGCTACCCACACTTTGTAGGTCATCTATTTGTGTAGCTCAGATTTTTGTCTCGAATGCTCCGTATGTCGCATGCAGTTCTGTGCCAATTAGCTTCTGCTAATCTTGTAGCAGCTCTCTCCAGACCCCACTCTCCTGACACAAGTCCTGGCCTGGGCTATAAAAATTCAGTCTTAGATGTGTCTAGAAATTTCTTATGTACAGACTAATGATTTACTGAAGCCAGTCCAGCCACTCAGGGTCGGTTATTGTTGGGTTTGGATTATTGTTGTTTTCTGATTTCCCGAGAACCTGGCCTTTCTGTGGCCACCAATGAATTCGAACAGCTTCAGACAGAAAAAAATAAAAGTCTGTGAGTTCCTCCAGGGGGCCCTAGAGAGTAAGCCTAGGAGGAGGAAGCCCTTTAAGTCATACTCCCATGGGGAGTGTGACTCTGGCCGCCATGTTATTAATTACTGCCTGTTACTCCCTAGTGGCGTCCTCAGCACAAGCTATTTCTCACTCACCCCGCCCTGCCCCACCCTCTAGTTTTTCCTTAGTTTCCTTACTCAACTTTTTACCAGATTACTATGCAGTGATTTGAAAGTGAAACCAAGGCTGACTCAGAATTGAAACAAAGTTGCATCTGGACGAAGGATTTTCTTAAACACACAGAAAGAGTCCCAGAAAGGAACAGACGAAGCTTGTGATCCAGGACAGCAGAAACATTTTTTATTTGTTTGTTTGTTTGTTTGTTTGTT